CCCTAAGAAATCCAAGTTACTGCGGTGCATGATTTGCCTGGTGCCGCCAGCATTCTAGCGGCGGGCAATCTCAGCCTTTTTGTGGCCCCCATGTGAACTGTATTTCTACAGTTAAGAAACACCAACACGTTAAAATCCAAATTTTTGTCGTGTGTTATACTTCATGAATTTCGGCTAGTTAAGGGAGAGCACAACTTCGAAATGACAAATTTTCAGCTTCCTTTTTTTTTTTTTTACTATCATGCAATAACCCATGTAGTAAACCTCGTGGAAATTGAGGGCCTCGCCAGGCCACACCCAGGCCCAGGCCAAAACGGGGGAAAGGACCCCAGCAAAAGATTCAGGGCCTGGTCGAGGTACAGTTGACAAAAGTCAACGGTCGGAAACCCCGACAGTCAAAGCGTACCCAGCCCAGGCCGCCGGTCAGACACACATTTGTTTGTATGCAGGTACCCGGACAGCATCAGGTCCAAGGGGAAAGTCTGCAACTGTACAATCCAGGCCTTCGGCTGTGAATCAATCTGGATGACTGAGGGGAGGAGACCCGAGGCCAGAGAGCCTCGTCAAATGGTACTTAAAGACTGGCCTCGAGGTGGTCAAGATTCAGTCTTGCCATGCTGCTTCGACGTTGGCTCGACTTTGACAAGACGCTGACATTATGCGGGCGCGACGCTGGCTAGGACGCTGGCTGTGCATAGGCGTTGCAGACGACGGCACGAGGTCGAGTCAGCAGGCTGGCGCTTCTTGTTCTGTGCGCCAGGCATGCTGATGTGGCGCTATCTCTGGTCTACATTGGATGCTGATGTGGCGCTACCTCTGGTCTACATTGCATGCTGATGTGGCGCTACCTCTGGTCTACATTGCATGCTGATGTGGCGCTGCCTCTGGTCTACATTGCATGCTGCATGCTGACATGGTGCTACCTCTGGTCTACATTGCATGCTGATGTAGCGCTACCTCTGGTCTACATTGCAGGCTGATGCGGTGCTGCCTCTGGTCTACATTGCATGATGATGTGACGCTGCTACTAGTCTACATTGCTGACGTGGCGCGTGCCACTGTTCTTCATTGATGATGTGGCGTATGCCACCTGTCTCGACTGCTGACGTGGCATTGTCCACGATGTCTACATGAGGTGACTGGTTGCGAGGTGGAGAAAGATCAGGATCTGTGGATGAGGGAGGTTGGATACTCACCCGAGGTTGATGTCGTCACTGAAATCTGCTGTGCCTTCATGGTCTCCTCGAGTTAAGAGTGCCACGTGGCACTACTGTACGTTATCAGGACTGCTATACTTGTTATCATCTACTGGTTGTTGACGTGTAGAGGGAAGAAACCTGGAGAAGGAAAGGGGTTTGACGGGATTCCTCTTGTGTGATCTTTTATCATCTCTTCCCCCTTCTCCTCTGTCTGATCCCCCTCCACTCTCTTCGTCTAATGGTATGAGATACTGTTTGTGATATCATTTCATGATTTGGAGACTTTGTTGCAGATACTAAGACTACTGGTGTTTGACGACTTCTGAGTATCTACCAGACTGGGTTCAATACAATCAAGTTAGTTGCAATCAGAAGTGTCTTCCCCGACATTCAGCATGTGTACAAACAGATGACGATCAAGGTGGCGACTTGCGCCCACACAAAGCTCAGCGATAACGTAGCCAGGAACACAGTTCCAAATCAAACTTGTCTGGTACGGCTATGGCCATCAACTATACCCCGGCCACTTGTTCGCACACACACAACTCTGGATCTCCCTGGATGTCTTGCATACATACACACTTCACACGTATACACACACACACTAACACTCTAATCTTGCTGACGTGGCGGCTATGGCCGCCATCTCTCTCCTCTACCAACTAGCTCTCGGCTATGGCCGCGTCTTCCTCCTCTTAGCCCTCCTCCTCTCCGGGCACCTGCAGACCTCCGTAGCACAAGACACTCAGACAGCGCTTCCGCACGGCTCACAGGCAGAGTGAATCAACGACTTGACACTGCCTCTTTATTTATACTTCGGATCGTCGTTGGTCTGCCCTTGGATGCTGGGCCCGGGGTCATCGCTGGTCTGCCCTTGGATGCTGACTTGACAAAGTGGAACCGGGACTGGGTACCGCTGACTAGGCTAGGTTAGCCTACCCACTTGACCACTTGCCTATGGACTGCATCCTAGGACGCACGAAGGGCCAGTTCTGAACCTTCCGGAAGACTATGGACTTGACCCTTCCGTAATGTAGCAGCTACGACATTGACCTTTTGACACAGTAGCAGCTATGACTCCTACCACTGCTAAGACCTCTAATCTACAGACCTACGGTCCCTACGACCACGCTATCTACAAAAAAGCAAACAGGCGACTGTCACGGCACAGGTTGCGGGATCAAGCACACACAGATCAACTGGTACTGTACACGGCTGAGGGCGAGGTCTAGGGATCGAGCCCTGGGAACTGCATCTGCTACCGTAAAGGTGAAAACCGTTTCATAGTATTACTTAACCACTTTTCTCAGAGGGTACCAAAGGTATGGGTGAGGTCTTGAAGATGGCACCCAGCAATTCCAGAGGGCTATTTTCAGGTGGCGTGATCGCAGCCATGGCCCCGAGAGACGCGCAGCGCCCACTCGACCGTACTCTGTTCGAAGATTGGGAACATGTAAAAACCTTTTTTTCCTCTCTTTTTTTTTTCAAGTCCTCGGTGTAGTAGAGGGTGGAGGCCAGCCCTCAGGAGTTGCCCATCGTACTCGTCCATTTGGCGGTCATAAAGTAAACCAATAGTGTTCGCTCATCGGACGTTGCATGAAAACCTGGCGCGAGAGTTGATGCACCGCTACCGTCTTCCCCCGAACACAACGCACCCTGATCACGGCTGCACCGATCCGGAAATAGAGCTTCTATACATTCATTTTCAGGGTGCGTTATTGTTCGGGGGAGGACGGTAGCCTCGGTAGGGCCAAACACATATCCTTCTGTTTCTTAAACTACCGCTAATGTCTCGCACTGAATCGAACGTACAGTAATTATAGCCGTATCTTTGGACTGAAGGTTGCACCAACTGCAGCTGTAGTAGCAGTAGTAGTAGTACGTTCAATGCGGGGCGAGACAGCAAATCGATGTGCCTCCCTTTTCTAAGCTAGTTACCCCGAAATGATTATGGTTGCAGGCCTCATCAGGCTCGATATGGACTGCCAGAAACCACCATGGTAGCAGGTATGGTTGCAGGTCCATAACCCTGTTGGACTGCCAGAAAAAAAGCGGTACGGTACCCGTTATGGTACCAGATCCATAACCCTGTTGGACTGCCAGAAAAAAAGCGGTACGGGACCCGGTATGGTACCAGGTCCATAACCCTGTTGGACTGCCAGAGACCGCAGTGGAACCATGCGTCATCAGGCGATTGCACTGGGAGAACCTGGTACGATCTGCTGCCAGAAACCACCGTCGTACAACGCAGGTTCCGTAGGCACTGCGAGCAACTGGTACGGTACCACGATTAGTACCAAGTTCATAAGCTGCGGGACAAACAGAAGCAGGTACAGTACCAGGCCTCGTCAGGCTCAGCAGGTCAGGTCGATACGTCAGAGCCGATTGGTATAGAGATGCCGGTTAGGCTCGGCAAATGCATGAAAATGGTAATAAGGACAAGTTGAAGGGGTGCAAAAAGATGTGAAACATACCGTTCTCGAGTAGAAATGCTCCATCCCAGCCTTTGCTGTAGGGGGCACCATACTCTGAAAACGGGGTCGTGACCTCTTCATCATTTCCGCCAACCACACAAGGGACTCAGTTGCCACACTCCGTTCCTGCACAAAACAGTTTACACAACCAACGCAACATCAGCCTTGGTCCCAAAGCAACATCAGCCTCAGTCCCAAAGCAACATAAGCTCCGGTCCCAACGCAACATCAGCCTCAGTCCCAAAGCAACATAAGCTCCGGTCCCAACGCAACATCAGCTCTGGTCCCTGTTGGGACATCAGCCTCGGTTGCACAACAGAATTCATGCAAATATGTGAGTGATTCATGAATGGATATATCAAAATCTATAGTGACATCGCGAGGACGGAAACGGCAGGAGAGATACGGAAGAGATGGAAATGAAAATAGAGCGCAGCAGGAAACGTGAGACCAACAGAATTGAGTACATGGAACTGCAACAATGCAATAGAAAGATAACAGACCCATGCACGAGCGCACGCGCGCGAGAGAGAGAATGCAATAGAAAGATAACAGACCCATGCACGAGCGCGCGCACACGCGCGCGCGCGAGAGGGAGAAAGACAGACAGACAGAGAGAGAGAGAGAGAGAGAGAGAGAGAGAGAGAGAGAGAGAGAGAGAGAGAGAGAGAGAGAGAGAG